TCCACTGTTCTATGGGCCACCCGAAAATGCTTTCAAGAGCGTTTCTGGGGTGCAGTTAAGCCATTTCCGATGCATATGTCTTTGAGCGTCAGCATTTTGATGTCAGTCCGCTGTACGCCGATCTTAGAACTTGAGTTCGGATTCATGCTAATGTGTCATGAGCCTGAGCAAAATTCTGACTTAGGCATGGGCCTAAAAACGGCAGTGAGTCGATTGCTTGTTATAGTGGCTTCAAAATTGTTATATTTTTTAGATAGCAGAAACTGTGACTTGTGTGACAGCCAACGAAACAACACCGCCAATAGCGAGCTCCCCAGTTGGCTACACTCTGAGGCGAGTGATTTCAAAGATTCGAATAATAATTTACTGGCAGGGCTGCGTTTTTTAAATTTACTGTTAATTTACTGAATTTTTTTTTTTTTTGATTTTCTGTTGATAATTTTTGCTCAATGAATGTGACTTGATGCGGTTACTTATCACTTTGGAAAAGAGAAATAGTCGTCTCTTTCCGTAAAGGACTGCGATTTTGCTGGTCGGCCGTGGACAAAATGAAGAGTAATGAGAAATTAGTAGTTTGACGAGTTGACGACCTGTTCCAGTCTATAAAAGTTCAAAAACGATGCAGCAGACGGTTTTTCTGGTGTTTGTGTCTGAGCATGAACGATTGAACGCACCGCCAGATGATCAGGATATCGTTGTGAGAATATGAGGAGATGGGGCTGACCTAGTGGTGGGCACTGAGAGTCTGCGAATGAAATGCATGAGACAGAAAATAACAACTTGACGAAGTCTGAAATGATGGTATACGTTTTTGCACATCCGAGCTAGAACAGGAGAAGCTGGCACAGCTCTCCCGGCATTTCAATATGCCTGGAGAGGGGCGCCCTAAAAAATTGGTATGTCCGTTGCAGCAAAACTTGATAAACTTCATCGGTACCAGCGAACTCAATTTTAAGGCACCCGATTGATCTAAAAATAAATCCCGCTTTAAAAGGAGGCGTGCAGCAGCTACCGACGCCACTGCAGTCCAGACTGCACGATTCATTGGATATCACAATTTACTGGGCGGATGAACAAGGTTTGTTTCATCAGCTCAATTTTTTTTTTGTGATCAGTACGGAAAATTTAACGTTGCTATGACGCATCTGCTTGTTATCGTGTGCACGTCCCGGAAGGGGTAAGG